AGGATTCTACGGCTCCGTCTAACATACTTTGGACATGCTGCAAGGAGGGACAGGTCCTTGGAGAGGGACATCATGCTTGGTAGGGTGGAGCGACAGAGCAGAAGGGGAAGGCCCCCTATGAGGTAGACTGATTCAGTGACTGGGGTAATCTGGATGGGTGTATCAGAGATGGTGCGATTGGCACAGGACAAAGCAGAGTTTAGGGCTGTTGTACATAGGGTCACTATGAGTCGCAAGCGACTTGATGGTACATAACAACATAGTCTCAGTAACAAAACTATAAGATTTTTAAAAACAAAACTATGCAGAACAGTTTTACAAAAGTTGAAACCAACTTGATGGCAACTGGTCTGGTTTCTTCTTTTAAATGTCTGTAGGATCTGTAGTGCTGTCCCTTTTTCCACTTCTAATACTCAATTGTCTTCTATCTTTTGGGGTCTTTATAAATATAAAGGCTCATATATTTTGATATTTTAAAGAATCAAATTTGCTTTATTTGTTCTCTATTTTATTTACTTATGCTCTAATTTCTATTTTTTCCCATTTACTTTTATTTTATTCTCTTTTTCAAGCCAGACTATGAATATTCCTTTTTTCTCTAATATAATCATTTATTGGTGTTGTGTAGCATTGAGTTGGAACTGACCCATAGCTGCTCCTCATGGTTTCAGAGGCAGTAAATCACATGAGATGAGACTGTCCATCTTTTTCCTATGGAGCAGCTGGGGGAATTGCTTTACATTGGTAGCATAGCTTCTAACTGCTAAACCAGTTTCCATCTAAGCATGGGTTTTGCTGCATAGCACAAGTTTTAATATACTGATTTTTAAAACATAGTTCTAAATAATTTCTTTTTTCATTCCAGGTTATTCCAATCCAGGTTATTTCAAAGTATCCAGTTAAATGATAATCCATTTTGACGGAATAAAAAATACCTTTGTTATTGGTTTACAGTTTATCTTGGTGTGGGGCCAGATCTCACTCTAATTAAATTTTTAAAAATGTATTGCAACTTGTATTGCCCTATATATGAGCTGTGTTGATGAGTGTTCCAAGTGCATTTGAAAATGAGTTTTTGAGCAGAATGTTCTTGAAATGTTAAGGAGGCCAAATTATTTCATAATTCTTTTGGCTTTATTGTTGGTAAACTGCTCCATGGGGTTTTTATGATCTTTAGGTCTTTTACACGCTTACTGACTATATGGAGTTGTGCTAATTCAAATGCAGCATCCTTCTGCAGTTCAAATCAACCAGCAGCAATGTAAGAGATGGGCAATCTCCTGTGAGACTGAAATCATAAAAAAAAAATCTGCTGGAGTGTCAAGTATGAGTCAGTTCTGACTCAGTAAGTTTTGGTGGTGTTGGTTTTTTTCCCAGTTTCATTGTAATTGAAGCACAAGTTTACAAATTGTTTTTCCATTCAACAATATGAATATATTCTGTTCTGTGACTTTGATTGTAATCCCCAAAAACAGCACTCTACCTACTTCCTCCTTATGTTTATTCTTTCCATGTGCCTATCTTTCCTCTATCTTTAGCCTTCTGAGATTGGTAAATGCTTCCTTTTGATTTCCTATAGTTGACTGTTCTAAAGGAATGCATACTCCTCATTTT